CCCTAAGGGAGTCACCTCCAGGAGTAACCCAACCTTTGTGGTTGGAGATCCCATGAAGAAGGTTCAATGTGGTAGAAACAACCCGTACAGCGTGACTCGTAATAGCACTATATTATTTGTGTTCATCCCTATGGTGATATAGTGCTAATAATAATGTGATGTTAGGAAGGGTTTAACCCTGAAGGAATACCGAGGCAAGAATTCTCCCGAGGTGTGGGTCACACACCCTTAGAGGACTCACCTATGTAAGAGTTGTCATGAGGTCGTGACTATGTGACTTGGCTATTCCCTAGAGACTCTTGCTAGAATTAAGATTAGAGAGCATGGCCATTAACAGCCCTACCCACAATGAACTGAATCTAAATCGATACTGTGTGTGAAACAATTTAGGTTTGGCTAAATGGACCTAAGTCATGGCTTAGTACATTATGGCTCCCTCAAATGGAAATTGTTATCACTAAGTGAGGTTCAAGTCCAAAAAACACATACACCTATTGCATAGTATAATGTTGCCATTATATATATATTTTTGAAAATTTAAAACTTGTGGGGGGATTGTTGGACAGTATTTAATTTAAGTTTTAAATTTTCAAATTAATAATTTGTTGTTTTTATTTTAATTTCAATTTAATACAAAATTGAATTAAATTGTAACATACATATTATAATTTGTGGTAAGTTTCAACTTTCAAATTAAAACCTTTTAATTTTAAGTTTTAACACAAAATCAAAGTACCATAATACATATTATAAATTATGTTTTAATGGTATAAATGTGGGGGGTTGAAATTTTACCTATAAAAAGGTGATTGGATTTCATTGTTGAGAAGAAGTTGAATGAATATCGAAATGTCATATCTCATTGAAAATAGAACTAGAAAAAGATAAGTTGAACAATTATATTCTCTACATTGTCACACCTTTTATTTAAGTCTATCTGAGTTATTGTGACATTGACATTTTGTGAAAGTGATTAGAAGCATTTACAGACATGGAAAATTTCAAAGGAACTCCACAAGGATGGATATCTTTGAAAAGTAGAGGTGTTTAATATAGATACGCCTTATATTTTTCCTAGTTGTAAACTAACTCTTGAATAGTGCCAAAAATTGAATTTGAAGATTACAGGTGAAATGCAAGAGCTCTATGGATGCATTTTCCCAAACTTGTTATATCAAAATTTTTATTATAATTATATATGTGATATTGACTTTTGGAAAATTCTTAGGTGAATTTGCAGATATGCAAATGGGCAGGTGAAGAAGAAAAGCTTTGCAAATTAATGGTACCAATTTATTGTCCAAAAAGGACATGAATATACGTAGTCCGAGAGGGACATATATAAATCATCGAGGAGGATGGGTTTAAGCCCTAAGGGAGTCACCTCCGGGAGTAACCCAACCTTTGTGGTTGGAGATCCCATGAAGAAGGTTCAATGTGGTAGAAACAACCCGTACTACGTGACTTGTAATAGCACTATATTATTTGTGCTCATCCCTATGGTGATATAGTGCTAATAATAATGTGATGTCAGGAAGGGTTTAATCCTAAATAAGTACCGAGTCGAGAATTCTCACGAGGTGTGGGTCACACACCCTTGGAGGACTCACCTATGTAAGAGTTGTCATGAGGTCGTGGCTATAAGATTTGACTATTCCCTAGAGACTCTTGCTAGAATCAAGATTAGAGCGCATGGCCATTAATGGTTCTACCCGCAACGAACTGCGTCGAAATCGATATTGTGTGTAGAACAATTAAAGTTTGGCCAAAGGGACCTAATTCAAGGATTAGTCCATTATGGTTCCCTCAAATGGAAATTGTTATCACTAAGTGAGATTCAAATCCAAAAGACACCTACACCTATTGCATAGTATTATATTGCCAATATTATATATTTTTAATTATTTTGAAAGCTTAAAATTTGTGGGGGATTCTTGTAACTTAAAAGAAGTTTCAATTCAAAATATTAAAGCACTTTAATTTTAAGTTTTAATAAAAATTAAAACATATGGTAACCTATATTTTAATGGTGTAATTGTGGGGTTAAATTTATCCCTATAGAAGGGAGTTCTTTCATTTGAGAAAAACAACTAGAGATACAAGCAAAAATAAAATACTATATCTATATTTTATACTATATTTCTATAGGTTGTGGCAACTTGATGAAATGCTTGTTCTTTATTTCCCTATGGCAGTGCCCATAGAAGGAGAGCCACATAGGTTTTATCTTGGAGCCTTGTAGTGCCGAAAGAACCCGCATGAAGGGGAGGCAACACAACTTTCAGACAACGTCCTCGACATGACTCCCAATGCTTGTTTTCTAAATCTCTTCTCTATTTTATGTTATAATATTCTTGAATTGTATTTGTTATTTTATTGTGTTAATTGTTAAACAAATCTACATACAAATGACTCAATTTTCCCAACAGATAGCCCTCCTTCCTATGAATGTTCCAATGTTTGGGTATCGTGTAACACCTCGAATTTTTCTTACTATTTTTCATATGAGGCCTAAACTTAATATTGGTTATTTAGCAAATGGAAAGGTTTATGTCTAGTCTTATTATCACACTAAGTTCAATTAACAATCGGAAGGAAAAAAAAAGGTGATTGAGTATTTGTGGTGTGCATTTTGTACTAAAATCTGTACGAAGAAAGGACAATTGTGTGTGTGTGTGTGTTTATGTATATATATGTATCGGTTTTTTGCACTATCATGTGACATATGGGTCCCCTTATTATTTTTTAATGCAATGTCAAGTGTAGTCACTCACTTTTTGGATTTTACTCTCAATGCCTATTTTACCCTTTTATATTAAAGGTAACAATTTATTCAGTCACTTTTTTTTTATTGATTCAAAGGGTAGTAATGACAATTCACATGAACTTAATGTATTTATCTACATTTTTTTGACCGTGCTTTCTAGGAATCGTACAAAAATAATAGAATAACAAATTTAACATGCACATTGGTTTCTATCAAAATCTGATAAAATTCAAAAATAAAATCAATATGAAACAGGGGCATAATATTTTTGAAAAAGTTGACGTGAAAAAAAATTCACGTTAATAGTACAAACACTTCAAAGCCCTTGAAGCAGCATGAATCTAGATTATTAGAATCTTCAATTACATCAATCTAAACAAGTTTTACAAATGCTTCAATATTTAAATTCAAGAATACACAGACTGGAAACAATATTCAGTTATTTGCTATTGGTTTCGACAAGAGAGCAGCCACCATGAATAATGTTAATCAAAGTGGAATCTCAAGTCCAAGCAGTATTGAGGTTGACATTGATCTTTATTCTTTTGAATTTTCGTAAGTTCTCAAATTGTGCTGCTAGGAATTTAATGTTAAATTTCAAGGAAAAAATCTGGCAATGGTGGCTCCTTGGTTTCTTGGACTTGGGCCCTTGTCTCATGGAATAGTTTGCTGACTATAGAAGATTACTGCTATGATTTATTCCCTGTGAGAACATCATAGGAAACCTCTTTACACCTTTTTAGCATATATCTATGTCTGTCCTGTCTTCAAATGGAATGCATATGTTCTTATCTAGCATACTATAATAATGCTTAATCGAAATATTAGAAGAATTTATAATATTTCCTTTCTGTTTTAGTGTTACAATCCATCCCGGTTACTGACCCTTGTTTATCAACCCTTTGCATTTGGAACTGTTCCGATACCTACTTATATTGAGGAAAAGATTGATACGAAACAGGGCCATAATATTTTTGAAAAAGTTGACGTGAAAAAATTTCACGTTGATAGTAGTTGCAATACAATACTCGTGTAGAACTTCAATCTATGCACACAAGTGTTTTGTGCAATTGAAGCTTTCCACCCTTAAAGAAACAAAAACTTCAAAGCTCTGACACAGAGTCAGGGGCGGATCTAGCCACTCAAGTGAGCTAGGGCGGAGCGTCGAGCGGTTATTGAGCGATCGTCCAATATATCAAGATTGTTTATTAATATTTAATTAATTTATATTAAAAGAATCTTCAATCAATATATAAATACACTAAAATATAAAACATTATATACATATGAAAATATAATTCTATACAAGTGAAAATAATAAGGAATAAAAATACATTTTTTGAATCATATACGTATGATCAAATTTTATGAACTTAAACAAGACAAGATGAAGTTAATACGTAAAGGGTGGTTAAATGATAAATATATGATTAAAAATAAAATCGGTTATTGAAAAATATATTGTTGAAAATAAAATAGAGAAAAATATATTTTGAAATAAATGGGAATCAAACAAGACGTAAAATTTAAATATAACAATTATTTTATTGAAATTGAACGTATATAAATTTGTTAAAAGAATAAATCATACTCATTAAATGACATAGTTGCCAAGTTTTATATAATTCAAAAGAAGAGCACGGAATCAAATATTTATTGTTACATTAAAACAAGTTAAGATCTAATATATATAAATTTGTTAAATATATTGTCACAATTCAACAAATGGCATAATGGTCAAACCACTAATAATTTTAAGAATAGCTCCAGGTTCGAATCCCCCCTCCTCATTCCATTGATTTTAAATTGTAAAACTAAAAATATTGAACAATAAAAATGGATTGATGAAGGATCGAACTTGGGACCTCCAAAATGCAAAACCCAACACTGTCCAACTTGGCCAGGTGCAATCTTGGAGCTAGAAGTGATTATCAGAAATATAACCTTAAAAATTCATTTATATGAACAAAAAAAAAAAGGGCAGCCAGTGGCGGTTCTGGCGAAGCCAGCTAGGGCGGCCGCCCTAGCTGGCTTCGCCAGAACCGCCACTGGCTGCCCTTTTTTTTTTTTTTTCTTTGGCTGGTGACTCTGTGCAGGGGCGGATCTAGCTATTGGCCAGCTAGGGCGGCCGCCCTAGCTGGCTTCGCCAGAACCGCCACTGGCTGCCCTTTTTTTTTTTTTTTCTTTGGCTGGTGACTCTGTGCAGGGGCGGATCTAGCTATTGGCCAGCTAGGGCGGCCGCCCTAGCTGGCCAATAGCTAGATCCGCCCCTGCACAGAGTCACCAGCCAAAGAAAAAAAAAGAAAAGTAATAGATACAAACACTTCAAAGCCCCTTAAAGCAGCATGAATCTAGATCCTCCAACCCTTGTCGGAAATATATGTTCCGCCATTGCATTTACTGAAGCAGAATATGGTTTCATAAGATTGTACACAGTGTGCCAGCGATATTTCCAATGGCCATGGCTGCCTCAAATGCTTTAAATGCAACATTCCATTTTTTCTGAAGATATAATAAGAAAAAATTCCCAGTTTATTAAGATTTTTTTTTTTTCAAGCATATAACAACTTAAGAATGCAGAAACAGACCACTTCATATGCTGGAACAATTTCTGTTGAAGCACTAGGACTTGGATTTGGATTATGTACATAGTGTGAACTGTAAGTTTGCTGCCAGAAAAAACAACTATCAGGAAAATTTTACTTTATTCTTCATGTCAAATTGGTAAGCCCTTCATTAAATTATGAGACTAGTCTTTGATAGTATGTACAAATCTCAAATTTTTATATTAACAATTTATTTTGTGTCAAACACAACTTTATCTAGCAATAAATTGCCAAAATTAACACGCTGGGCATCAAAGATATTTTTGCATGAACAATCAAAGTCTCGAACTTAAAATATTGAAGATGGTACGACCTGATTGACGCCTCTACTGAATGAAAATTAACTTTAATAGGACATTATCGAAATGTGTTAGACATACCGTGTAAGGATTAATCTGTGTTGCCTGTGATGAATATTGTTTGGCTTGGAGCATTGTGTAGTTGTCCAAAAACTGAGTGCGACCATTGTGATTGTGATCACATTTAGTAGATCGATAACAATCACAGCATAGGGTGAAAGAGCATTCCACACACGAGAAAAATATTCCCGGTACAAAGTTTGCACAAGAATCGCAAAATGGCCTTCCGCTTTTTATGATGTAGTATAAAGTCATTACCTCCCAGAAATCCAGTGAGCCATTCCCATCTCTATCTAACTCCCTAAAAAAGTAATGATTTTGCATCCGGTAATGGCCTTTCTGTCTCACGAATGCTAGGAACTCAGGCAGATCAATCCGGCCATCGCCATCACTATCCATAAAATTGAAGTATTCATGTGCTAAATCCCGAACTTTTTGAGAACCTGCGTGATAATGAGCTCTCGCAATCTCGCACAACTCTTCCATCTCTCTCTGTCAATTCATATAATCCAATATAAACGCCATTGGTCAAAAGAAACTATAAAAAGCTCCAAATTAGTTAGCTAACTTTTTTGTTCCAATTTATAATTAGTCACCTATGTTTTTTATTAAATTAAATCCATTAAAAGTGCGGTCATCCCATGATTCATTGTTTAATGCAATTCTGGGGCATTTTATGTTGAGTCAATGGGCCACTATTTCCTAGACTCATGATGATCACCAATGTTAGGTCCAAATTATATAATTGGCAATTTCCTTAATCAAAATCTTGTTTTAGTTGAATTGTATTAGGAGTTAATTGAGTCAAAGTCAAAATAAGATTTATTGAGTCTTAATTATTGTAAAAATAGTTGTGGGTTGATAGCGTTGTAAGGGGAGTTGAAGAAAATTAGAAGATCAAGAAACGCGGAACTATAGCCGCTGGTTAGCAGCTAGGATCAGCACTCGAATGGCACAATGCAAAATGAAGCAGAACCATTGGCACTCGCTTGGTGGCAACTGCCCTCTCGAGCTGCGAACTGCCGATCACTTGGTGCTTATCCAGCCAGAATTTTGATTTGATTTTAATTGAGATTTTCAATCCCTTTTCACCGTAAACACTATCCATTATAAATACACAAGCCATGGAACGTCCAAAAGTGTGGTTGAACATTCTATTCATTATAGAGATCATTATTTGAAGATCATAAACTCATTTCAAAAGATCTCTTGATTCAATCACAAATATATACCATATTTGCTCCCATATATTTTTTTTTCATTGGTTTAGCCCTTGTTTTAAGTCAAGAGAACATTATTTGAAGATCCGTTACATATTCTAATAAATCTATATAGCTTTAGCCAAAGATCAAAACACAAAGTTCAAACACTAAATAACCCTTTACCTTCATCTATAAACCTTGAGAAATCTGAAGTTTAGAGAAGAGGAGCTTGAAGTCTAGTGTTGAAGAATGAGGTTCGCTCTTCTAGCACATTAGCTAAAGGGATCTAATTCAATGTATTTTTCCAAGTCGCCCCAATTTTAGCACGATGTTTTTAAGAATATAAAAACTTAACAATGTAGAAAATTGACCCGAGTACAAATTGATCCTTCCGGTGGACGCCATGAAATGACTTCACCTTAGAAAAACGTTATCTTATTCTTCATGTAAAATTGGTAAGTTCTTTAATAAATTGCGTGACGAGTATTAGATTTAGATTTCCTCAATGTAAGCTAAAGAAAATGTTGAAGGATAGTCAGTTCGTACAAATCTCAAATTTTTATATTATCAATTTATTTAGTGCAAAATACAACTTTATCTAGCAATGTATGGCCAAAAATAGCAAGCTGAAAATCAAGGATATGTTTGTATGAACAATCAAAGCGTCGAGAATGGCCGGGCAACCTCAAATGCTTTAAAACCTACGTTCTATTTTTTTGGGAAATGTAATATGAAATATTTCCTAGTCGTCCCAGTTTAGCAAGATTTTTTTAAGTATATAAAAACATAACAATGCAGAAAACGAACCTGACGACGAAGTGATACACCCGCACCCTGCACCAAAAAAAAAATTACAAAAAACTTTACTTTATTCTTCATGTCAAATTAATAAGTTCTTTTTTTTTTTTTTTTAATTATGCGAAAAGCCTTTGATTTAGGTTTCCTCAATATAAACCAAAGAAAATGTTGTACGATTGTTTGTGTTTACAAATATAAAATTTTTGTATCAGCAATTGCTTTAGTGTCTAAATAAACTTTGTCTTGCAATGAATTGCCAAAGTTAATATGCAGAAAATGAAAGATATGTGTGCATGATCAATCAATGTGTCGAGAATGGCTAGGGCTACCTCAAACGCTTTAAATGCTACATTTTTACTGAAAATATAATATGAAAAATTTCCAAGTCGCCCGATGTTTTTAAGAATATAAAAACTTAACAACGCAGAAAATTGACCCGAGTACGAATTGATCCTTCCGGCGGATGCCAAGAAATGACTTCACCTTAGAAAAACTTTATCTTATTCTTCATGTAAAATTGGTAAGTTCTTTAATAAATTACGTGACGAGTATTAGATTTAGATTTCCTCAATGTAAGCTAAAGAAAATGTTGAAGGATAGTTAGTTCGTACAAATCTCAAATTTTTATACTATCAATTTGTTAAGTGCAAAATACAAATTTTCTAACAATATAATGCAAAAAATAGCACGCTGAAAATCAAGAATATGTTTGCATGAACTATCAAAGCATCGAGAATGGCCGAGCAACCTCAAATGCTTTAAATTCTACGTTCCATTTTTTTTGAAAATGTAATATGAAATATTTCCTCGTCGTCCCAATTTAGCAAGATTTTTTTAAGTATATAAAAACATAACAATGCAGAAAACAGACCTGAGGACGAATTGATACCCCCGCACCCTGCACCAAAAAAAAAAAATACTAAAACTTTACTTTATTCTTCGTGTCAAATTCATAAGTTCTTTTTTTTTTAATTATGTGACAAGCCTTTGATTTAGGTTTCCTCAATATAAACCAAAGAAAATGTTGTACGATAGTTTGTGTGTGCAAATATAAAATTTTTGTATCAGCAATTTCTTTAGTGTCAAAATAAACTGTCTTGCAATGAATTGCCAAAATTAATATGCAGAAAATGAGAGATATGTGTGCATGAACAATCAATGTGTCGAGAATGGCTAGGGCTACCTCAAACGCTTTAAATGCTACATTTTTACTGAAAATTTAATATGAAAAATTTCCAAGTTGCCCCGATTTTAGCACGATGTTTTTAAGAATATAAAAACTTAACAATGCAAAAAATTGACCCGAGAACGAATTGATCCTTCCGGTGGACGCCACGAAATGACTTCAACTTAGAAAAACTTTATCTTATTCTTCATGTAAAATTGGTAATTTCTTTATTAAATTACGTGACGAGTATTAGATTTAGATTTCCTCAATGTAAGCTAAAGAAAATGTTAAAGGATAGTCAGTTCGTGCAAATCTCAAATTTTTATATTATCAATTTATTTATTGCAAAATACAACTTTATCTAGCAATGTATGGCCAAAAATAGCAAGCTGAAAATCAAGGATATGTTAGTGTGAACAATCAAAGCGTCGAGAATGGCCGGGCAACCTCAAATGCTTTAAAACCTACGTTCCATTTTTTTGGAAAATGTAATATGAAATATTTCCTAGTCGTCCCAGTTTAGCAAGATTTTTTTAAGTATATAAAAACATAACAATGCAGAAAACAAACCAGACGACGAAGTGATACCCCCGCACCCTGCACCAAAAAAAAAAATTACAAAAAACTTTACTTTATTCTTCATGTCAAATTCATAAGTTCTTTTTTTTTTTTTTTTAATTATGCGACAAGCCTTTGATTTAGGTTTCCTCAATATAAACCAAAGAAAATGTTGTACGATAATTTTTGTTTACAAATATAAAATTTTTGTATCAACAATTTCTTTGGTGTCTAAATAAACTTTGTCTTGCAATGAATTGCCAAAATTAATATGCAGAAAATGAAAGATATGTGTGCATGATCAATCAATGTGTCGAGAACGGCTAGGGCTACCTCAAACGCTTTAAATGCTACGTTTTTACTGAAAATATAATATGAAAAATTTCAAAGTCACCCGATGTTTTTAAGAATATAAAAACATAACAATGCAGAAAATTGACCCGAGTACGAATTGATCCTTCCGGTGGACGCCAGGAAATGACTTCACCTTAGAAAAACTTTATCTTATTCTTCATGTAAAATTGGTAAGTTCTTTAATAAATCACGTGACGAGTATTAGATTTAGATTTCCTCAATGTAAGCTAAAGAAAATGTTGAAGGATAGTTAGTTCGTACAAATCTCAAATTTTTATACTATCAATTTGTTTAGTGCAAAATACAACTTTTCGAACAATATAATGCAAAAAATAGCACGCTGAAAATCAAGAATATGTTTGCATGTACTATCAAAGCATCGAGAATGACCGAGCAACCTCAAATGCTTTAAATGCTACGTTCCATTTTTTTTTGAAAATGTAATATGAAATATTTCCTCGTCGTCCCAATTTAGCAAGATTTTTTTAAGTATATAAAAACATAACAATGCAGAAAACAGACCTGAGGACGAATCGATACCCCCGCACCCTGCACCAAAAAAAAAATACTAAAACTTTACTTTATTCTTCATGTCAAATTCATAAGTTCTTTTTTTTTTAATTATGTGACAAGCCTTTGATTTAGGTTTCCTCAATATAAAACAAAGAAAATGTTGTACGATAGTTTGTGTGTGCAAATATAAAATTTTTGTATCAGCAATTTCTTTAGTGTCAAAATAAACTGTCTTGCAATGAATTGCCAAAATTAATATGCAGAAAATGAGAGATATGTGTGCATGAACAATCAATGTGTCGAGAATGGCTAGGGCTACCTCAAATGCTTTAAATGCTACATTTTTACTGAAAATTTAATATGAAAAATTTCCAAGTTGCCCCGATTTTAGCACGATGTTTTTAAGAATATAAAAACTTAACAATGCAAAAAATTGACCCGAGAACGAATTGATCCTTCCGGTGGACGCCACTAAATGACTTCAACTTAGAAAAACTTTATCTTATTCTTCATGTAAAATTGGTAATTTCTTTATTAAATTACGTGACGAGTATTAGATTTAGATTTCCTCAATGTAAGCTAAAGAAAATGTTAAAGGATAGTCAGTTCGTGCAAATCTCAAATTTTTATATTATCAATTTATTTATTGCAAAATACAACTTTATCTAGCAATGTATGGCCAAAAATAGCAAGCTGAAAATCAAGGATATGTTAGTGTGAACAATCAAAGCGTCGAGAATGGCCGGGCAACCTCAAATGCTTTAAAACCTACGTTCTATTTTTTTGGAAAATGTAATATGAAATATTTCCTAGTCGTCCCATTTTAGCAAGATTTTTTTAAGTATATAAAAACATAACAATGCAGAAAACAAACCTGACGACGAAGTGATACCCCCGCACTCTGCACCAAAAAAAAAATTACAAAAAACTTTACTTTATTCTTCATGTCAAATTCATAAGTTCTTTTTTTTTTTTTTTAATTATGCGACAAGCCTTTGATTTAGGTTTCCTCAATATAAACCAAAGAAAATGTTGTACGATAATTTTTGTTTACAAATATAAAATTTTTGTATCAACAATTTCTTTGGTGTCTAAATAAACTTTGTCTTGCAATGAATTGCCAAAATTAATATGCAGAAAATGAAAGATATGTGTGCATGATCAATCAATGTGTCGAGAACGGCTAGGGCCACCTCAAACGCTTTAAATGCTACATTTTTACTGAAAATATAATATGAAAAATTTCCAAGTCGCCCGATGTTTTTAAGAATATAAAAACTTAACAATGCAGAAAATTGACCCGAGTACGAATTGATCCTTCCGGTGGACGCCAGGAAATGACTTCACATTAGAAAAACTTTATCTTATTCTTCATGTAAAATTGGTAAGTTCTTTAATAAATTACGTGACGAGTATTAGATTTAGATTTCCTCAATGTAAGCTAAAAAAAATGTTGAAGGATAGTTAGTTCGTACAAATCTCAAATTTTTATACTATCAATTTGTTTAGTGCAAAATACAACTTTTCTAACAATATAATGCAAAAAATAGCACGCTGAAAATCAAGAATATGTTTGCATGAACTATCAAAGCATCGAGAGTGGCCGGGCAACCTCAAATGCTTTAAATGCTACGTTCCATTTTTTTTTTAAATGCAATATGAAATATTTCCTCGTCGTCCCAATTTAGCAAGATTTTTTTAAGTATATAAAAACATAACAATGCAGAAAACAGACCTGAGGACGAATTGATACCCCCGCACCCTGCACCAAAAAAAAAAATACGAAAACTTTACTTTATTCTTCATTTCAAATTCATAAGTTCTTTTTTTTTTTTTAATTATGTGACAAGCCTTTGATTTAGGCTTCCTCAATATAAACCAAGGAAAATGTTGTACGATAGTTTGTGTGTGCAAATATAAAATTTTTGTATCAGCAATTTCTTTAGTGTCTAAATAAACTGTCTTGCAATGAATTGCCAAAATTAATATGCAGAAAATGAAAGATATGTGTGCATGATCAATCAATGTGTCGAGAACGGCTAGGGCTACCTCAAACGCTTTAAATGCTACATTTTTACTGAAAATATAATATGAAAAATTTCCAAGTCGCCCGATGTTTTTAAGAATATAAAAACTTAACAATGCAAAAAATTGACCCGAGAACGAATTGATCCTTCCGGTGGACGCCACTAAATGACTTCAACTTAGAAAAACTTTATCTTATTCTTCATGTAAAATTGGTAAGTTCTTTAATAAATTACGTGACGAGTATTAGATTTAGATTTCCTCAATGTAAGCTAAA